TATATATATATATATATATATATCAATTCGTTTCAGTGCGGCAAAAATCTTCCAAATGATTTGTGGAGAAATGAAGCGTTGTTCGATAAAGTTTGCCCTCTACTTAGAATGCATGTTTCGACCATAGTCAACAAAATTTTAGAACCGACGCTTCAAACAGTGAACGAGCTGAGTATACTTTTGCACACCTCATCTGCTATACTCCCACAATCTGTGAATTTTTTTCGGATGCATTAGTTTTCTTTTATAGCTTAGAGTGAAGAGGATCACATCACAAATTCGAACTGTCCCGTTTTTTCCGGATGAGGTATTGCGTATAAACAGCATTACTAATGAAATTCAATAAGACCTGATATTGTGTGCCCAGTATTAGTAAGGCCGGCGGTGAGATAGACCAAGTGGTTAGAGCGCGAATTTACTGACCGGTAGGTCCGTGTTTCGAGCCCGACCTGTGCCACTCGACTTCCCCTGTCTAGGCTTGGGCGACCTGGCAGTATCCCAGCCCTCGTGCCTCCTTCGTGTGGCATGGCAGCTAGGCCCTGAAAGCGTGCTACAGCTGGACGATTTTTTTATATTAGTAAGACCAATTGCGCTTTTCATATTGGAAGCGACTACCTGACCTCATGTGAAACACTGAGAGAGAGTCTACTCCCTTACGTCATGCATCCTAAATCACTCATCCTGAACATGGTAGGATCTGGCCGGGCTATAGAGGTCTTGCTTGCTGACAAACTGGAGGATCTGTTGTACAAGAGAGTATATTGCAGCGTGCGTTGAAATCATTCGTGCTATTCAAATCCTTTTCAACGACATTCGATATTTTTCACGGGAGTTGAGTCTTCTTATTTCCAAATCTATGGTGTACTTAACTCCATTACATGAATTACACTTTGTTGGTTCACTAACTTCTTTTTGCATGTTTGTTTGACCCTCATAATTCGGCGTTGACACTGTTTTCTGTGCTACTCTTCACATATTTGCCTAGATTCTTGCGACATTCGACACGCCTTGGCTGTTGTGAAGGAACTCGTTTGCTTGACAGACCAATATATACTCCAGCTTCCGAATCACAAAACGGACTTAGTACACTTAGCGGATCATGTTTATTTGGTTGCTTCCTTTGTGCTGCGCCTTCTTCGTGTTTTGGGCGTTGCCGATTTGACATTAGCATCGGACGGTACTCCCGTTCCTGCCGACGCCACCGTTGCCGGAGGGAAAATTTCTTCCAAGCTACGACCAATTCAGTTGGATTTTGATTTAAAGTCAGATCCTTCGAATCTGCTTCAGCGTAGCTGGCTTTCGCTCGATGCGCTAACCGTGGAGCGTGTGGTCGCCGCACTTCAAACCACATTGACTGCCACCCAGACGCTTGCCAGCGCACTGATGACAGAAGGTTTGTGATGATACTACCTGAACTTTACCCAAAAAATTATTCGGTGCCACAAGATTCAATGGTTCTCCTCTTTCCTTGCAATCCTCTACGTACTCACTCTGGAACTGAAGAGGAAATATGATGTGTCACTTAAGCCCTTGCATCTACCGAACAGTCTGCTACACTCAGAGAATAGCCTGAATCGACTTTGAGCCATCTTTGTTGGCCTTATTTCATCATCGCGAAACATATGTAACTAAAGTTCTTATCAGGTTTCATCATCAACTTCCCAGATTGATTTACCTTTACGTGCGTATCTGCACGCAGCGAGTGTGTCGCCATCATCATCGGGAACAGTAACATCAGTGTTGACAGAGATGTTTCACTGCTTTACAATCACATGAGCCACTAAGTTCTATCTGAATTCTCAAAGATAAAAAAAGAAAAGGGTGGACGAGGAGGTGGGTTGGTGCTAGTCTACCTTAAACATTCTGAGGTACCTACAACTCCAAACGCTCAATCAGACAATCGAGAAGGACAGCGACCGCACGAACTCCACTGACATCCACTAGCCACCACTTCTTGCAATATCCCCAGCCAAGCACATGAAGGTTCATGGGACCCCATAATGGGAGTTGTACCGCGACAACGCCCAAGCTCTTGGTAATCGCTTTCATGCCCTTCTGCCAAGCCACTTGTTCATATTGTTACAAATTCCCTAGCACTGTTTTGTCCCATGGCCGCATTCGACTTTTCCGCGCTACAAAAATAACCACACTAAGGATTCAAGAAATGCCTGGATTAGATAATGGGGACATTGAACCTTTTGTGGCGAAATTCCTGACGTTTCTTTGTAACACCGCCGAACTACAGCCTAGAGAATCTGCGGTCTATAGGTTACTTGGTTTGTCTAATCCATTCGTTAATTGCACCATCCTTACAATCGAATTGTTGACACCTAATTACTGTGTAATTACGAAGCAGTTACACTTGCGTTGATTGTAGTGCATGTATACCAGCTGTCCCGAACTTGTCGGTTCTATTGATCTGCGCATGCATTTAAGCTACCTCAATAGGCTTAAATCTGCAGGTTGTAATGTATAAAATCCGCCAATTCAACACTTGTTTCTTTGTTTTAGGAGACATATTTACAGATATTGTAGATGATGTAACTGCTAATGTCCACAAAGAGTTCGGCCTCCACCTTTTCAACCTACCGACAGGTGAGTTCATTACTTCAGTTATTACTTCAATCCAATGCACTGCACTCAGTTTAATTCGCACTTTATGCATAGTAATAACAAAAGGAATTATTGCCAATTCCACTACGTGGATATGATAGGATTGATCGACTGACTTTCAGCCCCGAAGTTCACAAATGTAACGTGAACACTGCGTGAGTGTGCATGGGTTTTGCGAGCTTGGAAGCTCGCGTAGCGCGACTTAATAGGTTGGGTCTTTTGGCATTGTAGTGTTAGGGATAGTTATTCACTTCGATTCGTCTAAACGGTGCACGTTTTAACGTTACCAAGTTCGCTGTCGGGACCATCAGTTCGCGTACACAAATTAGAGGTTTATATTTTAAGCGGGAAGATTTGAATGCTAGTAGTTAATACTATCTTCAAGTCGAAGTTTATTCCTTGATCTCTATTACCTGGTGATAATTTCTGGACTACCGCTGCATTACACACACGAAGTTATGTGTCCTTCCCTGGGACGGAACAATACCAGTTGTTGAAGTGCTTTGTCCCGCTATCCCAACCGCCGCTAAATAACCTCTTGGTTTGATTGCTACAGCCCATCTACACTTAAAAGATGGCTGTTCAATCGTCATAGATGTGCCTTCTCCAAAGTTGTTCCGCGTGTACATGAATTTCACATTCAGCATTTGTCCAAAATGCGAGCCCAACCTATATCCAACTGTATATTTTCTTGGACTGTTCCACGGATCGCCCTCAAATTCTTTGACCTCGGCTAATGTGCACCATAAAACTGGATGAGGACCAACCCGGTGGCTACGTCATTTCGGCTATAGGCTCAGTGTCTTCGTGAATGCACACGCCCGGTAAAAATACCTGGAAATTGAATCAAAGGATATACTACAGAATCATAATGCATGAGTTTCTGTTCCGCTACTTGAACAGGCGAAGCCCGTACTATAGCGTGATACACAGGTCCCTTGATATATATATATATATATATATATATATATGCTCTCCCGTCAGTGGTTTTCTGGCGTTACGTAGATGACACGTTCGTTGTAATAAAGTGGAATATGGTTAACGGTTTCTTTCAGTATCTTAACACTTTCGATCTTCAAACTAAGTTTAGCATGGAACTAGAGTCCACACCGGGTACACTATTCTTCACTGACTGCATAACACAAAAGAATGGTGGAAAATTAACGACCACTATTTACCGGAAACCAACAGAGAGTAGTGCGGCCTTAAACTATTTCTCGGCACACCCAAAAGCAGTATATTCTAGTATAGTTTTAACAATTTTTAGTAGAGTACAAGCACAGAGGAGATCGACAGAAAAGCAGCACAACTCGAGTTAAAAGGAGATTTCAAGGTGGTGAGTACCCAGTAGGTTTGATCAACCGGCAACTAGGACAACTAGGACAACTAGGTCCCAACGGTCGGGCCCAACAAACATTAGATCAGAACAGCAATCAGTAGAGTAGTATTCCAGAAGGAAAAGACTTCACGCTCGTTGTTGGTGCAGTTGATGGATCGCCTCCCAGTTGATTGGACTAAGGACTGTGTATGCAAAATAAAATGAACGACTGTACGAAGGTCTACATAGGTCGGACAGTTGGAGAATAGCAAACCAGAATCGGTGAGCATAAGCGATCTATTAACAGACCATCGAGAAACGTAGATGAATATCAGGAGATAGTCAAAGATTCGACAGTGATAGGGCATGTACTAGACACTAGGCACAGGATAGATTTGGATAATGTGGTCATTCTGAGACGGGGACTAAAATTACACCAAATCGACTGGTGGTTGAGGCGGTGGAAATCGCTAAGCATCCCAGCGTGAATAGAATAGAGGGCATAAAACTGGTAAGCGTGTGGAGAGCGGTTTTAGGTTAACCAAGATGACACGAGGTGGTGTGCAGTTATCATCAAGATAATCTGGGTCTAAAAGTACAGGCAGAGTAAGATCCACGTAACCAGCAGCGGGTATCCAGTTAAGCAAACATCCTTCCGCCCGGTGACTCAGGACGATACCAACCAGTGCATACCCTGCCGCAGCAGCCTCTGAATCGCCAGAAGTACGCAGTCTGGAGCCAGTATAGCCGAAGCCTTTGGCTCAAATGCCTGATCACAAGGTACCGGTGCTTGGCTGGTGATGCAAGGGCATTTCAACTTTTTCAGAACAAATCGGCGCACATGTTCCGACCCCAATTCTTGAGGACCGGGAGACTGTTTGTCCGACCTTTAACCACTGACCAATCTGGTATTAAGGACTCTGAGTTTGTTGCACAGACATCCCTCCGGTGTAGGTCAGAAATTTAATCAAGGCACTGCATTAGTTCGCTTCCTGGTTTCTTATCAGTTGGCTTGCAAGCGCTTCGTCGTCATGTGAGGAGCGTTCACACTGATGCCTCCTCGTTCAATGATGAAACGTTTTTAAGCCGATGGCCAAATTCAGCGAGCAGATCAACACACGCAAGCTGCCAAAATCCAGATACGTTGCCATCGACTCACTTCCGATGAGTGCCTCTGTTTTGGTTTGTTTGTGGACCATTCAGTTTTTTATATTTCATGTTTCTCAGTCAGTTTGCGTAACGGGCAAATGACTCATCTGTGGTCACACAGGATCTTGCCTGTAATCACGCATTATCCGGAGCTCGAGATAGCTCTGTGGATAAGGTACGAACTTACTAACCGGAATTCCCTGGTTTGAACCTAACTCCAGCATTTTGGCTGCTCCTGTCCAGGCTTGGCCAACCTGGCAATATCTCAGCCCTCATGCTTCCTTCAGGTTGCATGGCAGCTAGGCACTTAAGGGGTGTTACAGCTGAACCATCTTTTCATACAGGATCTGACTGTATTTACGAGCACTAAGTATAGTGACGCATGATTTCGTTAAATTTATGCATTATTCTCGTACTTCAGCCAGACCAAAAATAAAAAACTCGACCACATCTTGTTGAAGCCTTTTGAAAATGAATTTTGGTTGGCCAAGTTTATGATGGATCGATGGCTTTCATGCCAAAGGGAGAGGAGAGCTATTTTTGTAATCGGGATGTTGTTTTCCTGTGGGAATATTACGGGTGTTGATTCACCTACTTAATGTTTTATAGCTTTCATGCTTAGTCTTGAAATTGTTTTCCTTACACACTATTGAGATATAATTATACATTCTAGACTGTCTAACCCTCGCGGTCAAAGCCAAATCCAAGCGGACCTTGTCGCAATTGTTGGACACTCCCTTCGGTCTTGAAACGGAAATCTGGCCAATTGTATTCAGTCTTCTGTTGCAACTGGTCTTGCTTCGTCAGTCTGCGCGGGCTAGGCTTCTCACCACGGGTGCAGCAGACAAAGCACAGAAGCAACGAATTCTGTCCGCTTGTGATCGTATGCGGGACAAGGATCTTGTTATCGCTGGTGTGCGACTGCAAGATCGAACGTCTGCAGCCGATCTTGTAAGTGGTATTCAGTTGCCACCATGTCTCGGCTTGGTTGATGCGAGTATCTTAGCGGAAGAGGTTCGTGACAAGCCGAAGGTAAGCAATCTCTTTATCTTATTCACTGTCTGCTGAGCTAGAGCTTCTTGTTAACAATATGATTATGTATATGATGATTATATGATTATATATATATATATGATTATATTGTCGCACAAAACTATTCTTTCTGATCCGTAGATACCTCTCAGTCACCTAAGAATTATTTCTATCGGTGACATTCTGAATATGTGAACATACTGAACCTGTCCATGACAGTGTTTCGCACACTCGGCATCCAGTAGCTTGTGGTGTCCTCATCCCTGAGCCACCTTTCCCCGCGCAGCGTTATCACCCTCAGTTAAAATCTTTGCACAGGTTTTAGTGTTTCAATTTGTAATCGTTCCGTTCATGGATGAAGTGTGAGGCAGGATTGGATGGTTCCACATTGAAATCAGTATTTGGTATTTTCAAAGACGAATCCAGTGGTAATGAACGAAGGACCAAGAACACAGTGATGATGGTCATTTAAGGGGCAGGTTGACAACTATGTACACAATAGTTCGGGTGGTCTTTGCTGAGGATTAATGAGAACAGAAGAATGGTTAGCTAATGGTTGAAAATGAGAGAACAGGTACTACGACCCTACGGGTTGTGTGGCACCACCATATTGGTGATACCCCAACCATAGATATCATGGATGAAGGCAAGCCAACTCACCAAGCAGCATATTTGCTGCCAGAAACCATTCCCGGTACTTCAGCGTTCCACGGTGCATGTACAGTGCTTCGACAACAGTGCTACTTAGACAGAAGCATTTTTTTCTACAACCCCCTGTTTCCATGCTTCGCAATCGCAAAACGACGGTGGACGCACTGCTACGTTGCAGACCCTGACTTCCGCCGGCAGGTTAATGTCACGTCCACCAAAAAGTTTCCTAATTCACAGAAAACCCCGAAGGACTTTAGCGCTCCTAGAATCAACATCACTGTCATCCCATATTACACGGCAATCTAGACAAGTAAGTTTATCTCTATTGCTTCTAATACCATGACCGGCTCTGGCGGTATATCCACGCAGTCTTGTAATGGTACTTTGTACTGCGAAGACGGTAACGCACGCAGAACTGCCCGGCATCGTCGTTTAGAATGAGTTTATTTTTCATCTGAATATCGTACACATATTATAGACCTTTAATGTTCTTCTTGGGACCATTAATTTGCCTTCGAAGTTGAAATGGAAATGTGACAGAGAGCAACTCTAAGGAGTATCGGTATTCTTCGTGGACTTTCACACGCCCAAAAGTTTAGGGTATGAGGATTGGAGAAGTGCTTTGGGGGTGTTCAGGGCATCATTACAAACGTTATTTTTGGATTTAAGGAGACAATAGTCAATGGTCTTCTATGTGTATGGTGGCTTTCGAGTTTTATGATGAGGATGTAGTCAACACATTTCCGAACGGACGTAACCCTGCTTCATTTTCATTGCTCCACCTCTCACGGATGCCGGTAGGCCTGCATAGGACCATACATGTCATCAACTTAGAGGCGATGGTGACTAGATCGAAGCACCAATGGTTTTGACGTCCAGATTAGACAGCAATTTTAAAGACGAGAACGACGGTGTTTCCCTAGCCTTCTTAATGTTCTGCATGAAATTCATCCGTCACGAAAAGACTGAACCTTAACGTTGTGTGATGGTTTGTGTGCCTCCGTGATCCATTGAGACATACTAGGTAGTGTCCGTGCGACACACAGAATCATATCAGGTTGGTCACTGATCAGGCTGGTTAGAGGTCTGACCAACAGAGTTTCCTGACCTTCCAGGTTGGGTGTTAGAACATGTGGTAATGCACTTGCATTTCCAGCCAAACGCCACTGCTTTGCGGTCAGGTTTTTGAGCCAAAGACTTTGGTTGAGGACCCTAAGCGTTCTACTGTCTGGGTGTGCGTGCCTGGTAGTATTCGGGCCCATATACAACCGTGAGACTTACAACTAACAATATTCTCATGCCACATCTGCCGTTGCTTGGTTTCACCAACCAGGCGCCTTACTTGCTGCATACAGCAGGGCGGGTAAACAAAAACAGACAAATTCTGACGCCTCCTCTTACCACACTTTCAGTAACAGCCCTAAACTATTCAAAAGCTGTTTTCAAACCCCGAAACCTTGTCCATTTAGCCGTCTTTAATGTTCGCACACTTAAGCACGTTGGACAGCTGTCGGGACGCGTCCAGACATGAAAAAAGTACGTGAGCAGAGAACGACGCGTCACTAAGTACCGATTTCCGGAACAGTGGAAATCACCTGGCAACGTGGCGCCCACCAAAGAACCAACTCAGAATCCATCTCCCCGGCCTTCCAAACCCACCAGCCTTATGTCATTTTTCAAGCTCCTGATTATCCGGTGTTTGAGGGATTTGCGTGCGCCACCATAAACGGTAGTTGTTGGTACGACGTATCTGGTAGCGATAAGATCTGTTGATCTCGTCGATATCCAGTGTTCACTGAGTCGAGTCAGATGACATGGACAAACAGTTCTGAAGGCCAAGAACTTTGCTTCTTTATATCGCCTTCATTTAACCTCCAAGCAATCTTCGTCGTCCACATGACTGTGCGTTTCCAGTGGCATTCTAGCCAGATCAGCTCGGCACACTTCAGCTACTGAAACTGATCGGAGTTGCTGAGCGGAGCTGGTCTCCTTTGGCGTACTGCTGGCGGAAAGCGAAGTGCAAAACATGCCCGCTCGAGTGCATGATCAGAGTCAAGTGGTGTGCCCCAGAAGCAACGACCAACGTTATCCATCGGTAACTGATAGCTTGTGCTCAGTGGTCTCCAAATAAATCGATGTGAGGGACTGCTCTAGAAGTTTATACTGGCCAGGAACAAACAATGATCTGCACGCAACTGAAGAAGCCACTCCACATTTTCCGTACGCTCAGAATGGACTCCAAATCTACCATCTAACTGTGCTTCTTCATGACGTGGAAGTGGAATGTGGGACACATACGCTGGTGAAAGGAACGCCAAGGCAGGTACACTAAGCGCTGATCAGGCGTTCTACAAGGTGTTTGTCTTGGATTGTACGGCAGTGAAGCATTGGTGTTGAGCACTGATGTCATGCTGTCGTTGATGATGATGATGTCTTGGATTGAACACGAGACGCGCGGACAACGGAGATCGTCTGCTTCAGATGTGTGTCGATCACAGAGTGTTCCTTTGCAGTACCAACTCGCGGGACAGCGGAAATTACCTGGCAACGTGGTGCGCACCAACGAACCACTCCAGTATCCAAATAGACCAGCACATCGCCGTCAGTCATCGGTGGCAGGGGTCGATCACTGCCTGTCACTCCTTCTGGAACACCAGCGTAGAGTCCGACCACGTGCTTGTGTGTGTGCGTGTGCTGCTGCTTGTCATTGTGCTTTTCAGGTCTACCCAAAACGCGCACACCTCGCCTAGCCATTGCGAAGCTAGTGTACCCAGAAATCAAACGAAACTATCAGAACCGGTTCCTCAAACACCTGCCGAACGGTCTGACGTCGGATATAAACGGCCACTCGGAAAAGATAATCAAAGCGCTACTCAGAGCCGGAGCTTCTGCTTGCGGTATAATCCAGCCAACCTGATAAGGCCATGTATTTGTACCAGGCCCGATGACAACCACAACTCAACCCGACGCATCATCCGATACCAGATGAAACTGAGTGTCCATGTGGACTGAGAATCCCGAAAGGCCAAGGAAATGAAAGATATAAAACAATGCTGGAAACGTTCACAAGCTGTTTCACTTGATTCATTCGACTGATCGTCGGAAGCCTCTTGTCAGCGACATTATCAGGGAGCAAGATGGCTACCTGATACCCGAAATAGCAGAACGTTCGAACCGCTGGACACAGTACTTCGAACAGCAATTCAGTTGGCCACTTGTTACCTTCAATCCGGAATCCTGGCCTTCAACCTCGGAAGTGTCCGAGTGTTTTGTCTTGCTGAACGGAAGTGCAACTCCGTATTGGTTCCTTAGCTTCCTGTTCTGCCTACTATGGCATATCAAAAGGCACGGTAGCTCTTGATAGCCCTTTATTGAGACAAAGGAAAATTACTACAACTGTATTTATAAGGTAATCACATGGTGTTCTACAAGGTAGTGCCAGAATCTCCGTGAGAGGGCAAGAAGCGTCGAGTCAAAGATGCTCAACTCGGAATGGCTGGCGTTCCCACAATTCAAGGCATGTCTTCGTTTGGCCCGTGTCCTACACGTAACACATCCGTCCAAATGACGTGATGTTCGGCTATTACGGACGGCTGGCCTCCGGACACTGAGCGTTATCATGTTCCTTTTTTTCCTGGTCTTTTCAAGGATGGCGATGTGTTTCTCGGCCAGTGCCTTGCCAACGTATTTGGGTCTACCTGGGAGAAAGAGGCCGTACCGCAACACTGGAGTAAATCGATAACGTTACCCATTTTCTGGTGAACTGAGCGAACTGTAGTCTTCCAATTCTGACCCATGAAGCACCGCAGGTTATGTGCTTCGCAGAGGTTTATGAATTACACACTCAAGTAAGACAACCCAAATTCAAGCAGTTGTGTTATCAAATTTAGATTGTTTGGTATGCTAATAGAGTGTTACCAGCTTTTAGTAGATTAAGTCAAGTCAACTTATAAAGTAATAGAGTAACTAAGTTAGTTAACTAATTAACCAAGAAACTGAGACATTTGTGGATGCCATATATACTTGGATCCTTCTGATCATTTATGCTTGCATGGTTCACTGAGAACATAGAACTGTGAAAACGGTAATATCCAATTCAGTGAGTTTTGTTTTTGAGCCCAATTGCACTACGACTACAAATGAACTAACATGTCGTGGGTATGATCTTTGGTCCGTTCGCTCAGCTGAGCAATTTGGTTGCAAGCATGCGGTGCGGTACGTTGCGTCATTGCAGTTGAAGTCACCCAGAAGAGAATTTTGTTATTCCGATCCATATGTACAGTCTGACGCATATAGCCCGCCAAAATTTGCTTGCATAACATTCGATCGTAAGCTATGCCCTAATTTAAACCTGATGAAAAATTTATTTGTAGTAGCAGTATAGCTAACGTTGCGCTGTTGGACCATCAAATGTCACGTGCCTTTAATGCATACTGTCTAGTACTTCAGGTAACTGCTAACAAAGATACGTCAGCCCCTTTTGAATCCTTTTTCTGGTTGGCTTGGTGTATATAAAGCTTAGATTTCCATCTCTATCGGATACCATAGCAACGGTACAGGCTGTGAGGCACCACTTCACCGTTAACCACTCTAGTTTATTTGTAGTGCTTCACTTTCATTTCATGGATCTTAATCATGGCTGTACCATCTTTGGAAGATTTTTATGAGGCGACTGATTCCAAAATGAGGATTTCGCGGTGCACTCGGATATATGCTCACAAAGCGTCCATGGTTTGTATGTCACCTAACCGGGAACCTGAAAATGTGAAATGAAAAGACATGAGTATAAGGGGCATGTTAGTACAAAAATTGTTGGCGTACTCCACTCTTTGGTTCTCTGCTACATCGGGAATTATAATAAACTAATCGTTCTCATGTTACACTGGTCTCAGAGGCAAGATCATGGGTTATGCACTGATACACCTGGTGACGCTCTTNCCCTTGCCAACTGCCGGTTCATCATCTAGAACCCGTTGATTTTTACGGTTAGTGGAAACCCGAAGTACGTGACCAAACAATCGGACACTGTTGTGTGGAGAGGTCAGATTTTCTTGCCAAACAACACTTATATTTATGGAGCGCGTACACTTATATGCGTGTTCTTTGTGGCTTAGCCCGTAAGCCGCATGTTTTGTTTTCTCGCCTGTTTCTGAAATCCCCTCGCTGGTATCTAGGATGGCGTCAAGAAATAGTTGGTTCTAATCGTCTCGAAGTTGCGTCGTTTCTTACGACCTGCATATTCCCGTCGGTCTATCTTGATGGGCACAATCTGTTTTTTCGAAATATCCGGACATCGATTGTAATTTGTCAGAAGACCTTTGTCACACGCTCGAAAATACCTGGGTTTATGATACCTGAAACGCTATCCTTTTCTTCCTCATGGGCTAATGAAGCAAATCTTCTCTCCGGATTCCTCCAGTTGGCCTCTCTGTGTACTCTGCTTGTAGCTGATTTTACGTCTGCATTCTCTATACTTCGGTAGACTACCCCTAGATTTTCCAGCCTTCCCGTAAGAACACTCCGCTCTAATGAGCACTTCGAACTTTTCTCCCGACTGGTTTTCTTTTGGGAACCTGGTAGGTCGGTCACAAGTGACCAGCGTTAGTGGGTGAAAATTTAGATAACACTTCCTTTGTTATCTCATTCTTCTGTATTTTAGCAAGAGAATGACAAGCAAGCCAAAAAGCTTCGCTCAGAAGCAGCAGCTGGTAAAACTGGTTCACAACATCCTTCGGAATTCTTTCGAAGCCAGCTTGACAAATACTCTGCGTTCGATGACAAGGTTAGCAGTTTATTGACTTTTAGACTTTCGAGCTCTTATCTAAACAACATTCATAGACATTATCTGTCGTTATCTCCACAGACAATCGGCTAACGGAACTGTAGCAGCTATAACCCCTGTACAACATGCACATGGTTATTACGGCTAAAGTTGCTGATGATGACTTCGGAGAGGTTCGTGAAGCTGCAGATGAAACATAGAACTTTTCCTAAACTACGACTCTACTATCAGTTTCAAACATTCCTCAACTGTTTGCAGTTTTCGAAAACACCAAGAACTTCCCGTACTCAGTAGTTTGGTTTCATGCACCTCGAAAGTGAGCATAATGGACAAGTTCTTATTTGAGAATACCGGCACCGCATTCGGTGCGAATGAAGCCAAAAAAGCTTGAACCTTGTTTGTGGGTATTCAGTTTTTTCCGTTACGATGGAGTCGCATAACGCCAATATACCGAGGTTCGTTACTCGATTTGGTGGCCGAAACATCGAGCAACAAACTTCGGTATACTTCGCAGTGTTGATTAGTCCCGAGGAAGTTATTGAAGGACCGGATATAAACTTATTCGTGCTCAGCGCTTCAACTGTCTGAATACAGCGCAAAGGAATGATATGAATGGCAGCACAATGGAATTGTGGCACGGTAGTTGGCAACAAAATATACACAATCAGATGACATGTGAGACTGTTTGGGTGTATCTTCTAACTGAGGCTGTTTAATGGTTTAGACAGCTAGTTTTCGTGCACTAAATCCAGGTTTGTTGGTAGTGTTGGGAGATTTGGGATTTTTGTGGGATTTCGTCCTGTAAGTGAAGCCAATCTATGCTGAAAAGCCGAGAAGCACTGTACAGCTGTTTCATCCTTACTGGGAATCATCAGCAGTGCGCATCTCACGAAACTCCGAAGAGTCTCGAACCCGCGACCTCCCGGCTAGTAGTTTGAACACCTAACCGTTCGGCCCGACTTCTCAGATAGAAGTTCCACTCATCCGGTGAAGTTTATTCTTCCACTGAGCTACTTATATATTGTTGGTAATTGCTCGAGGAGCCAGTCAACACGTGTGACCGCGTGATGTAGATCCCGTGAATGAAGGATAAGCGGCGCTATATCCTGTGCGAGTTAATCACAGTGCTGATCAGCCACTCGTGGCCGAACGGTTAAGTGTTCAAACTACTAGCCGGGAGGTCGCGGGTTTGAGACTCTTCGGAGTTTCGTGAGATGCGCACTGCTGATGATTCCCAGTAAGGATGAAACAGCTGTACAGTGCTTCTCGACTTTTCAGCATAGATTGGCTTCATTTACAGGACGAAATCCCACAAAAATTCAGGTTTATAGAACTGGATGGCAGCAACCCAGATTGTTGAAAATATCCGACTAATCTAGAGTAGTGACCTGAGACAGCGAATTGGTCGGAACGCTTGATTGATGCTCGCTCACCCATTAGTCAGGCTGGACTAAGTGAGTTAAGGTGGTGGTGCTCAGCCGTTTAAGAGACGGCCGGCACTTTTCGCCAACGTAGACCGATAGATGTCTATTTGTCCTCTCAACATAACTTACCCCAAACACAAGAGGAAGCACTTGATATCGACAAACTCGAAGTAAAGCTGATGCATATCTCTGCTGGCTTTGGTTAAACAGTGACTAATTATTTTTGCAACAGTGCCTTCGAAAGACAAACTTAGGCAGAGTATTCTTTCACGGTACGCGCTTTTGATCTGCGTTCCCCTAGGTGGTGAGGGTAACATTTCAAGATGAACAGGTCAGTGAGGAAGGATACTCTTCGATGCTGTGCTGAATGATATCTTCAGCGCACATCCTCCTTGCTCTATCTACTAGGCAACGTGCAAAGTTCCTTTTTTGTTTGAATGTAGCAAATGTTGGGAAATTGTGTACTTCCGCATCACCTTACAGAATGTTCTTTGCACTGACCGTTTCGTATACCAGTTACCAGAACGCACAATACAAACAAGGGCTGATTATATGTTCTTTCCATTATCAACATGAGTTACGAGCTACACGGCGCTGAAACTGTCGAGGATGTCATCCCGTTTCTGACCTCGTTCCATTATGCAGAAACTATTTACTTATCCGCGGTCGACGACAAGCTTGTGGACAAATTCCCACAGCTCCGTTTTTTTCAACTTGCTTGTGAACACATCTGCGATTAATGGATCCAGTGGCATGTCCGTAACTGCACCATCTTTCGTGGCATAATTCACCGTTGAATAGAAACAGTACCTTCGGTATGGACATCAGAAATAGCTTCCGTAGATCTTCAGTGGAAATCTCTATGTGTGTGCGGCTGTCGTATACATGTTCTTCTAATCAAACTAGATGGGTTCGTATTATTAGTCTTTTTCGCTTGTGAACGCTTGATTCGCGTGTAGATTATTCCTAATAAAACAGTCCTGCTTCAGCCGAGCCAAAGTTGATACCTAATAACGTGTCTAATTCGGATCCTTTGCTCAGGAATCCAAGGTTTTTTGAAAATAAAACTGCGTACTTACTGTGAGCAATCGGTAATTGGTTCTTGGGTTGATAATCAAATCCGATATGACCGTCAATGACTTGGAGTAGTTGATTTGTCCTGTTGGACCCATGGTGGGTTTAACCCAAGGCTTACGCCATCCGATTCACCCATTTGTCATGCATTGTTACGTCACATTGATTTTGTACTCTTTTTCAGGGTATACCAACCCATGATTTGAATGGGAATGAACTTTCCAAATCTCAGCTGAAGAAACTGAAAAAGGTCTATGATGCACAAGTGAAACGACATGAGGCATTCATGAAATCGAAGTCTGTGACTGAGTGATAAGCTGTTTAGATCAGATCAGTGAATTATATTTGGTCCACGTCTCTGCCTTCATCTTCATCTCCGTTTCCCCCCGTCTACTTCCATATGTTTGGGCCTCAAGTTATATGACCTTCAGCTGAAAATATTACTGTTTCGTGGTTTCTTCATTCCCGTGGCTTGTGTTCCCAAGGTGGTATCTCTATCGCCTATGTGTTTGATGTGTATTACACAATTTACATTTTAAATTCGCTTACCTTGGAGAACTTCAATTTATGCGTGTCACTGTTTGCAATACAGAGCTTACTGGTCCGTATCTTCTTCCATACCTACTAATTGAAAATAATTATATGGCAGGCTTTGTGAAAAGGGTAATCGGATCTCTGTTGTAACTAGGCCAACCATAACTAGGGTGCACTCATAATCGAGTCTTAATCAGCGTACGGCCAATTCACTAATTTAACCTTGTCAGTGCATGGACAGGATTCTAATCGTTATGGAGTTCGCAGGTTCTTTAGATGGTACGATTTCAGCTTGAACATGTATGAAGCCGTGTTCATGGAATTGCATGCTGTCCTCCTGGTAAAGCCATCTTAAATAATCATAAACCAATATCCCAGCAGTCCCATGTAATTTCTTAGTAAGAAGCTTGAGATTTCCCGACTACAGAATGTGTAAAAGAGCAATCCGTTACGTGTCCTATCCTGTTTCATGCTCATCACGTGACTGTAGTGGGCTCAGTAAGGTAAAGTTTTGATACTAGTGAAAGGAAGGCCTTCGCCGCGGAGTTATTCATTGGAAAACACCAACTGAACAGCTACAGACTATTGGACAGGGAAGCAAAACTCTCTTATGCATCTTGTTTATAAAAACTGTTTATCCGTCTTTTCCTCGAACAGGTCTTCCTGAACTTTCCTGGTTACTCATTGACTAACACTCAAACGTAAGCGAATGCTTCAAAGCAAGTCTACAAATTTTGTAATAAATCTCACTTTTCGATAGAGGAGAAGCGGACTTATGAGAAACTCACATACTGTTCGCATGCTTCATCAGTAGTATCCACCGTTATACTAGTATTACGCTGGGATTAGATCGTCACCGATGGTGCCTATGTGTTTGGGTTTGCGCAACTCAGTGATAGTATGTGTTGCGCATCCTATCTTGTCTGGTGCTCACCACTTGAATGTAGCGAGCTCAATAAGGTAAAGTTTGGATGCTAGTATTTACCTAATTATCCTGTACGCAAATTTGTAGGCGAAACCTGCGTCCATGGGCTAATGAGATGTACATGTACGCGCGGAGCTGAATGTGATGCAACTTATGTCACTTATGGCTGTTGGTCTGTTCGCCGAGCTTGACAGTTGGATTGCAAACGTTTCATCATCAATCGAGGTGACATCGTCATTGCAGTGGCAAGATTGTTCGGCATTTCAGCCTTCTGATTCGAGTCCAGGGTGCATGCATAAACACCAAGTAAGAGCTGGTAGCTGCTTGGGGCATTAGTCCGTACAACAGCGTTGATGGTCGGTTTACCTCTGTCGAATCGTTCGCTTGTGTTTCCAGAGTGATATTTACCCGCGTAATCCAGCTCCGATACAATCTGCTTAGGACGAAAGTTAGAAGTACCCAGTAGCCAGACGATCTGTAGAATGTGAAGAAGCAGAAGTATGGTGCTGATTAATGTTTCCTTGCCATAATCTCAGCAATCGGTTGTGATGTCGATGTGTCCACCAACCGATGGTCATTTCTTATCGAGAGATCTGCCTCCCTCAGTCCACCAACGTTTTTATTGAACTGGGACTTCCTAAGGTCACAGTTAGTGACCTGTGCTTGCTTGCCATTTTGGGCCTTCTGCGCATTTACACCACCTTATGCGTGGTACATAGTGTTGGGTGTTCATTCTCGCCATTGGATTTTATACCTGACCTGGTAAGACGAACAGTTTGTGGCCGACGTGCGAGTCTCGACTGTGCTAGCGCTTACCACGCTTTGAAACGCATTTAGCATTCGAGAAATACACTCATCTGCAAATCAATTTGGTTTTCACGGGAGACTCAATTGAATCTCTCGTTTATGATGTTCTCCAGCTGAATGTGCTGCACACAGGCCGCCTCATGATTCAGTTGGCACGATATTCGAGAGTTTTAAGCAACCTTGTGAGTAGTTTCCTTTATGAAAGCATTCAGCATTGTTTGTCATACCAAACATTCTTACATACGTTTTATTTCCCCTTGCTTGGCTGGAACTTTGGTGGTGCGACTTCGAATGGGGAGCTCACCTCGTTTTATCTAGCGTTTGCATTTACGTTTTATGTTTGTGACCATGCTCCTCAAAAACGACAATAAAGTTGTGCAGATGTTGACTAGAAACCGAAGCAAACTTACCCTAGAGAGCCTGAAAGTCTCTTGGCAATCGCTCAACGGTTGGTTGAAATAAAATCAGTCTAAATGGTTTAAAATGGACAGAGTCCGATGGTGCTCACAAGACGCCTGTTGTACACGGTAGCGTTAGGATTCAGAATTCCATGCTTTGATCCTTGTACCACCAATTTATGTATCAGGTCTTGAGGTTACAGTTTCGGACTGGAGTATGCACGGCAGCTGACCCTAACTACTAAAACAGGAGGACACTCAAACCAAGTCGGATATACGCTCCTTTATAATCCCCACTATATTTTTCCACATTATTTTGCATTTGATTCCCTTTTCAACGTGCGTGGGTGGTTAAAGACCATTGAAATGCAACACGTCAAATTGCCACGTATTGTACAGACAACGCCAATTGACTTAAGTTTCTATGCTAGACGAACGGCAGCTACTGCTCAGATCATATTTACATACGCTAGAGCATACAAATATCTAGACAAATACCAAGTGAAATGCGGCGTCAGACCCATGAGGCAGCTCGGGTTCATAATCCGGGTCAAGGTTAATGTAAATAACTTGGCAACCAGACCAGGCAGAAGTAATGGTAACTGATAGATTAGCGTTGGAGTTGTTTGTGTGAACTCGCAGTTCGACCACTGGGGCTGAATTGTACGTACAAACCAGTTTGACTCCACAAGCTAGAGCCATGCAAACTGATTTCAATGGACGGCTGCAAAGGTTGTCATATAGAGCTTTGAACTTGGTTTGAGTACATGTCAAGCAGTCGTTTTCCACAAACAGCACTGACTTGGTCTTGTTCAAATCAGCTGGTCAACCGTCACCACCTATACAGCAGATTCTTGGAGAAACATCTCGACATTGTGACGAAGGAACAACTGAAGGCACAGAGAATTCTGTGCTCGCAACGAGGGCATCAAGAGTGACCTAATTCATGGAATGGATTACCTGGGTTAGATGGTTACACCAAATGGCAACTAAATTCACCAAACCGGAAAATGATCAGTCGCACAAAACAGAACAATAGGTTACGTCCCGCATATGATGTTTGAAAGCAGTGGAAATGGCTTAATCGTACTTAGTCTATGCGACCCGCGAATCGTGGACAACCTGGCCTCCTTTGGAGACCAAGTTGGAAATGCGTAACTCAACAACCACAGTACGGCCAAGTGGCTGGTTGAAGTTATGCAGCCAGTTCTTCAGTGCCTATATTAGCAGAGCACTTGGTATATTTTTGGATTTTCAGACGTACATTGTGAACAGCTATGCGTCCTTTCGACGTTGCCTCTGCTCACCCCCGCGTTCTTTGCCAAAGCAACTAGTTTTTGACTTCATTTAAAGATACCATAGTAAGGTGCAATTTATGTCTGTTCAGTGTCATTTCTGATGGCGTTGCCATAGGCTGAAATCACCACTAGCTGACTCCGCTGAGCGAACACAAAACCTGCTCCATGAAATGTCCTATCGAATTTGTCACTATTGCCGATATGTTGATAATTTAGTTGCTGTCAGTAAAGGTTAAAACGAAGTCCGTCAAGTTCCAAACCATTTGAACCCAGCCTATCCATCTACCAAGTTTCCTGTAAATGAAGAGCCATGTGGTATTTAAATTTCTGAAAATCAGAGTAATCAGACGTGGCAGTCAGCTCTTAAGACGCCACCTTTACGGGGAATAAACTTGGTTGGAGCAGTTCTTTAACTTCAACTGTTGTACTGCCTAAACAAGGGGAGATTATCATTCGTACGTTGTACAACATAGCGGTCGAAATTTGCCCCCATGACTCCCTACGGTATTATCTCAAACTATTGGAGAATATCCTGTGAGAAGATGACCTTCCGGGGAATCGCATCTTGCGTAACATGCGCAATTCGTCGCCAAACTTGAAGATAGTCACAGCGGAGTAGAATCCTGTATGCATCTACTTAGCATTCAAGAGTGGTTTGCTGACAGCAGGCCGAACCGAAGACTACAAACTTTGCTTACATGCTCCACACTTGCGCTACTCGACAATTGTTTTCCGTTGATGGATTTCCCCTCCATGCTCAAAATATAATCTTACATATCTGTAGGGTGCTGGACGTACGACAAGGCAACTCAGTTGGATAATAAAGGGACATGCACAGTTCACTCTAATAGGTAGTAGCAAAACATCAATAGACACCCGGTCAGTACTTGGTCAACACATCACAGTGCAGACTCCATTGAACCCGAGGTTATACAATCTCGAATTATCTCTGGATTAAAGTGATTGCTGCCAGATTATGTAAGCATATCATGCATCAGCGAAAGCGATTTTTACATATTTCAGCTCCCGTGGTCGAACCTATCCACATATTCACGTACAATCACAAGACCACCATCGATTGCGCATTGTTTGCATCCAAAAGTCTTATGACAGTGTCCCAGCTATTTAGTCCCCGTACTAACCAATATCGCAGTTCCACGGGATTGGGGGCTGCATTTTACTCAGTATACATATACCAATTTGCATTGTCAATAGCTCCTGCATAGGTGCAGATTATCTATCACTAGCATCAGGGCACGCCACAGGAGGAGGTTGATTTACAACATGAAGATGAAGACATCAAGTTCTCAAATAGTAGACGGAAATTACACTGAACCATGTCGTGCATGATTTATCACTGTTTCTGTACCACCCTTGATGTTCAAATCCTGACTCCGGAAACAGGCCAGAATACACCAAGTGAGTAATGTAAACAGAAGGATGTTTGTTTCGAGTAGGTTACTTGATCAAGGGACTTAAATGTCACAGAGGAATATGCCAACCAGCTCGAAGACTGGCTACAGTAGAAGCAAGTGGAATAGAGATTGCTTCGTGTCGTTACCCTGAAGTCCTTACTGTAAACTTATGTGAGTTCGTGGTATACTGATCGAGCAGATACCGATATGTGTACGAATGGTCTGGATTAT